CGCTAAAACCATAATACTTACATAAAAAAAATAGTACATACTCAACTGTAGAATATTTTTGTCCACAAAATATTCAATTTGATAAATATGTGATCGGACTGCCTAACCCAAATCAAAGAAGATGATTTATAGAGAAATCAAAATGAAAAAAAAAAAAAATCAAATTGAATACCTTTTACGATTTTTGTGGTCCATATCGGATTCCTCTACATTTGTACATTTAAAAGGGGATACCTTTGCCACAACCAAATGGAACGTGTTATCTCTGGTAGAAAAAACAGTAAATAGCGACGCGCTGCCATATAAAAGCCTCGCACATTTTCAATTGCATACGTCAAATAATATACTGGATGGCCTATGAAAAGCTATTATTTGAAACCTGCTTCAACGAGCGGATATTATTTTTCGTGTGCTATCCGGTATATCGTAGCCTCGCACAAAGTCAGCTTTTCGAAAAATCTCAAGCAATTAGTATAAGCCGGTAAAATTGGAAAAAAACGAATAAAACAGACACGGCGTAGAAAAATAAAAATAAAACGAGAGATGGTGTGATTGATCGCGCATATTCTGCACCTCGAAATAACTTTTACGACGTCACTTGTTTAATTTGCATCATCAATAAGCCGTAACAATTTATTTTCAATCCGAAACTATCGCACAGAAATCGCCGGAATGAAAATAATTATTCCGAATGTTCAGGTGAATGTGTTTGTCTATGTGTTATTAATACGCGTCGCTCTCTTTGATGATCGCATTTGTTGGGGAATTATTTAATTTTGGTGGTTATAAATGCCACATCTAATACGGGTTGTTCTGAATTAATGAGCAAAAAATTTAGGGGTGGATCCTAATCGAGAAATTAATATTATATTATTTATAGTAGTTGAAAAAACATGTTCCATCGCTGAAAAAAAATCTGTTTCATTTCATAGCTACAGGGTATTAAAGAATTTTTATTTCTTCGATTTAGTGTAAATTTATCGAAAATGATGCTAAATCCTAGAAAATTTATTAAAAGCTACCTCTTGAACGTTGGTCGATTTAGATTTCTTTAATGGACAAAGTGTCCATGAAGCAAATATCCCTATTAACTCTGATTTAAATAGATTTTATAATTGTGTCACTGATCATATGTTAAAGCTAACCCTAATAAATCATCAGTGGTATTGTTTAATAGCGAGGGCCAAATCGATCATATTGAACACTGCAAACAATTGTCTATTAATCAACCGGTTCTTCCCTTCGTTAACAGCTGCAAGATTTGGGTCTTATATTGAATTCTGGGTTGAAGTTTAGAGAGCACGTTACTAGTAAATTAAAGGTTGCATACAGTACAGCTTCTTTGTGATACACTAGTTTTATCTCAATTTGATCACTGCAGCAGCGCTTTTAGTAGAGTCAGCTCTTGAATTTTTTGCTTATCATTTCCGGTCTTAAAAATGGTACATAATCAGTTGTAGCGAGATCGTGGAATCGGTAGCTACAAATTTGGCTTCATGTGAAGAATATTGTATAATCCAAGAACTAAGAAAATTGCCTCTATGAATTTTTTTAAAGGTTTAGAAATATTTTCAAAATTTGGTACTACTAACTGATTAGGTATTTGATATTAAAAATTAAGAAATTGTACTGGGGGTCAATTTGAGATGCTCCTATACCTTATCCAAAATAAGTACGACTCTTTGACCCTAAGTATATATTTTATTTATAGTATTTTTATGTGTGCCAGAACAGGAACGAATAAAAGCTAATAATTAGATTTTTAGAAAATATTTATAGCATTCCATTTAAAAAATAAACTTGGTTACTGTCCTGGCACAACGGAACCCATAAAAATACTATACTTTTTGTATTTAACTTTTTTTCCTCAGTATCGTACTTATTCAGATAAGGTATAGAAGCATCTCAAATGGATCACCCTGTACATAATAGTAATTACCTTCAACAATAGCAATTATTTTGGCTAATGCCGAAAAATAAAATTAATAAATAAATCGAATCATTTTGAAGAATAGAAATTGCTCATATCAAAAGCAAGCCGTCGTTAAAAAAAACTCTAGATGAAATATTACAATTAGAAAGATAAATATCTCAGAACATTATTTTAATTACGCAATTTTTTTCGTATGTTATCAAACCTCTGTACTTCTTTTTTGTTTGAAGAAAATAATTGTTATGGTTTTCGAAACTTGTCATTCGTAAAATTTATAGTTAGTTTTTTCGATATTCCTGATATTATTCTATTTGACTTTTGCGCTATTGCCGTGGTAAAATTGGTCATTCAACATGAAACATTCTTCTGTGTAATTTAACAGTGCTCATATTTCTCAAAAATATATATCAGTTGCTTTTTAAATAAAAAAATAAGCGATTTCTAATACGTTTAGTCTATTTACGTTGGTTATTTTTAAAAGTCCATATGTCATTGTTATTGTTCTCGCAGTTTACATTAATCCTCACAGCGAAATGTTGTCTTATTGTATTTTATATTTTATTTTGTTTTGGATGCTGTTTTTTGACGTTACTTTAGTATATCTACAAGACTAATTTGAGTTTTTGCGTAGTAGTATTGTTTAGGCCACGTAGCGGTAAAAAAGCATTATCCCTTGACACTGAATATTAAATTCATTAGTTTTTATTTTCCTTAGTGCTGGGTTAGCCAATTTAAACACATTATATTAAATCATTTACAAAGTGGTCGTAATTGTTGGGTTTTAATAGGAAAAATATATTTCTGAACTAGAGAGAGCAAAATCGACATGTCAAGGGCTCGATTTAAAAAATTGAACATAACTTTCTTATTTATGGGAATTATGGATTCGAATACCAACATTATTACGGCAGTTTTTTTAGGCAAATGCAGTGGCGTACTCAGATTTTTTCTGTGGTTCTCCCTGTTCGTGTCTGTGACGGAAAAATTCGGAAATATGGGGCACACACACCGACCGACTGTTTTTTAATTAATCAAAAATATTAAAATTAAATATTACAAATTACATCTAAATTTAAAATTAAAATATTAAATGATTTTTGGGTTTCGTGCTTTTCACCTAAGTTGTTTCAAATTGGCCTTATCTCCTTTGAAGTTTCAGTGTTGATTAAACTATTTTTAGTTTTCATGTCACGTCTTTTTGAACATATTATGCACGGCCTACTAATACATAAACAAAAAATGCCCTACGATTACCATATAAAATAAGAAAGTTGTATTCATTTATGAGAAAACGGAGAATTGTAGAAAAAATCTGAATACGAGTTTATCTTAAAAATGCTCAAACAAAATTTTCACTAATAAAAAACTTAAATGTTTGTCAAAAGTCGAACGCTTGACATGGGAGTCGATTTTGCTTTATCTAGTTCAGAAATAGGTTTGCCCTGTTAAAACAATCCAATTATGATAACCCTGTACAGTGTCACTTCCTTAATCCGGATCTCAGTAACTCGAACTCTTCATTAATTCCAACGGACTTTGATTGTCATGCTTATTGGACTACTTTTTTCATGAGAAATTTAATGCCGTAACCTTGATTTCGGCTCGAGAGTTCTGTCCAGGAGAAGACATAATGACCTGCTGTGTGCCGTGGCATAAACCATCGTCCTTCACTTAGAGAGAAGTAGTTTATCAATTTTGAGCTGTGGTGGTTTTGCACTGACGATGACTGTGCGAAATAATAACTAGTAAGTCGATTAATAAGAAATAGATTGTTACAGCCAATTTAATTGGTTTAAGTTTCTACTTTTAGCACCAAGATTTGGGTTACTAAAAATAAAATCATCACGCTACGGTAATAAATATTCAAAATAAGTCCATGTTAAATCAACACTTCTCATTGATTGATTGGATAACTTTTTGAAAACATAATACTCATACCCTGACAATGCACGTCTTACATCGAGTACTGCAGTCTTGACATAAAAATCAAAAAAACCTTTACGAAAATTCAACATTTCGAGAGCACTATTTCAAATAAATAGGTAATTACGAAAGTTAGGTTAAGAGGAAGCTTTATTTTATTCGTTGGTTGAAAACTGTTGGACAATTTTAATGTTTGCTATGGAAATGGAAATGTATGGCGCTCCATGAATATATTCGAATATTTTTGAAAGTCACGTTAAACAATTTTAATAAAGTTAATTACAATTTTAGTTACTATTATATAATTTTACCGTTTAACAGTGAACAAATGGGAATTTGGCAAAATCCTTTTTAAAAATGAAACTTAAAGCAAATATACTGACAAGTTCCGCAACTTACCAATGAACAATTTGCATTTTCGACAAAGAATATATTTCATTAAACATAAAACAAATGACATGGACCAATTGCAATATTTGTAAAACAATTTTATCAAAATGTCAGAATTCCAAGTTTTACCATTTATTTCTGAAATAAGTAATGTCACATGCCATGATTCTTCTTCTTTGTTAGCATCTATCTAACCCAACGCCCAAATAACATTTAAAATTAAAGGAAAATATGTATAAAATATTCGAATTCGTCAACTAAATTGTGCTTGCGCTTCATGAATTTTACTGTACAATTTTTAAGTTATAGAATTTTTGTTTTAACATATGAATAATTTTTAAAAACCATTGCAGTCAGTTAACTATTAAACTTTAAACTATGGAAATCAGCTTAACAAAAATTTTAATTATCAGCATATAATAGGCGGAGCTGTTTTTAAAACCGAATATTAAATCTAATCAAAATTTATAGCTTACAGCGTGTGCATTAACTGGAAAACATAAGTAAATTATAAGTAATGAAAACATTTTTAGGGGATTGATTTAGAATGGACTGGCTACTGCATATTAACATAAATCTTGAATTTGATCCGTAATTAGGAAAAATTAAAAAAATATTGTGGTTAATGCGTCACCAGAGAGAGAGAGGCAATTTTCCAAATATCCGGTGTCAGATGGCGATGCGTAAGAAACAAATTAAATAAAAGAAGAAGAATTAAAAAATCCGACGGGGAAAAAAAGTGAAAAGGATTTACCTTCGGGTTCTTTAGCAATAACAGTTGAACTGCGATCGACTCCTCCCTTCTTGTCTTCTGAACGTTGTCCAGAACACAAACAAATTATCTAACATGTCATTTAGGTTATATAAAATAAAATTGTTTTGGTGTACAGGTTAGTTCACAATTGACAAATGCGTCCCGCGAAATAATCGATCGATGACGCTGGAATTCCAAAGTTTAATGCGTTTGTTTAATTTAAATTAGCCAAAGAATTGATGTGACGGCATAGGCGGATAAGCCGGAATCGACATCAATGTATCTGGTTAATATTTCCTTAAGTGTGATCAAAATCCGAGGGTTTATTTTTAAACCATGTGAAGCGAATTAGCAGATTTCGCATCAAGTAAGGGATCAAAGAAATATGCTTTCTCTACCTTTCCCGGAGGGAATAGTCGTAGTCGTTATCTTTAATCAACTCACACTTTTGAAGTCCTAGCGAGAAAAAGAAAACATTCCAAACTAAGGGAAAGTCTTTAAGAATAGTGAGGGAATAAACTTATTTATTGTAGGGTGGACATATATCTCTGCAGGGAAATTCAAATTTTATTTGGGGGGGGGGGATTGTAGCCTCTTAAATTAAAGGCAAGTTGCTAATTGTAGTATTTCCATGCTTAGAAATATGCTTAGAAAATTTTAAAATCTCGAATAGTTCGGAAAAAATGGAAATAAATGACACCAAACGCACATTTTTACTGCCAAATATCTTCAGTTTTCAGATAGGCGATGTTACATTATTGGAAAGTGTGCCATCTTCGGAAGGTAATTTTAAGGTCTTATCAACTGTTCAAAAACATCCCCTTTTACCGATAAATTGAAGGCAAAAAGGTGCTTTGGAAATGTTTTCATAGAAAGAGAAAATTTTTCAAAACGAAAAAGTTTTTGATTTTCGATTTCGATTCCACCCTGTACAGGATGAGTTAACGATAAAGTCAAATTCATTATTTCATTGGTCTCAAAAGTTGTGAGAAAATGGAAAATACGAATATTGCAAAGATTGTTATGATGCAAATTACTTGAACGCGGCGACGGATAAAAAATCTTTTTTTTTTTAAAGGAACACCTTACCCCATTTTTAAATGTTATTCTGGATTCCTTTTAAAATTCTTTTTTATTTATAATAATAAATACCTAAACCTAATAGTTATTCGTATATTTTAATTTTTCTAAAAAAATAATAGTTTTCACACTTTCACTCATATTTGATATTTGTAGCATCTAATTCAAATTCCCTTGTATATGTCTTTTACGTAATCTTCGAATAACGCTAATATTAAATATTATTATATTAACGCATTTTTTTGTGTGAAAATTAGTATCTTTTAGAAAAATTAAAATATATTGGAAGACTACTAAGTTTGGGTATCTATTATTATTATTAAAAAGTTGAAGAATTTCAAAATAAATTCAAAACAATTTACAATTGGGGTGTTCGATTTAAAAAATGTATGTTTTATTCGTTGCGCTTTTTTGAGCCACCCGGTATACCTAAAAGTAATTTGAAATTTTACATGCTAATAATATGTACAATTTTTGTATTTGCCATTTTCTCCTAACTTTTGTAACCAATGATCTTTACTCTAGCGTTGATTCACCCTGTATAGTGCATCTAAAATTTGCAGTCCCCTAAACCTATCTTAAAAAAGTTTAAGGTACATATTCGCAACTTTGGTTAGTTAGATAAACACATTTTTCAGAGTACGCTATATCTATATAACCTATTACAAAAATATATTAAATTAAAATTCAGTAGCGTGCATAATTTGCTTTTTACCATGCTGTTGTATTAGCTGTTGTATATGTATCAGGTTTTGTATCAAAGAAAAGATTTTGAAAATGTCCCCTGCATTTAGCAAAAAAGAAAAAAAATAGTGCTGCTGAGATCTCATTGAAGAGAAAACATGGGCCAAACGGCGTGGAAATGTTTAAATATTAGTTCCCAAGATAGATATGGTCACTCAAAATTTTCCTAGTGGTTAGTGAGTTAAAACAATTTTTAGTTTTATCATCTATTTTTAGTTCGAATGAGCGTAACATCTATCATCTAGGAAGATTTCTGTAAACTATAGTAACCGTGGGCTTATAATTTATAAATTTGGATACTATACTTATGTTTTCGACATCAAGATATTGTTATATGTTGGAAAGTATAATAAATCTAATATTTAAATAAAATGGACGTTAATTGCTTTTATTGACGGTTGATGGATGTAGGTGTTGGCTCGACATTTTTGAGAGTTGAAATTATATTACTAGTCTTATTACTGACACAATAATAGTAATACTTAATTGTTTTGGGTATAAGGATACTTAAAGTAATAGGCTCTATGAACGTTAAGGTTTGTTTAAACTGTAGGCGTGAATATGAGAGCAATGGTCAATATTGATCTAAATTTCTTTATTTCTTTATGATCCAATATCATCTTTGTTAGCTTTTTGATATTTTAATTATTTTTTTCATTAATTGTTTATTTTATATATTTATTATTTTATTAATAAACATAAACAAATTAGACCAATTCGCATTGTTTCAAACAAACCCATATTACAGATGTCTTATCTGATTTCTGTCGTCTTTCCGGATAAGTCTTTGGACTGTTTTTTATGAAATAACGTTTTGACGTATGTCGTTTGTTTGTATTACAGAAAAACTTTATGTAGCCTAAATTTCGCTTAACAAGACAATGTAATGTTTATAACGTTTCTAGTTACATTAAGGCGATATTATTTTTATTGAATATTTGGTGCAAAAAATACAACAAATTATGGGGATGTGGAATCAAAATCAAAATCTATAGCAGAAAAAAAAATGGCAATGAATATGTGCTTTTGGTTTTGGTATATCTTGTTAAGAAATACATGAAAAATTAAATCGAGATCTTTAAGATAATAGTTTCCGAGAAATAGAATTTTTATTTCTTGACCATGGTTTCTATTGAGCAGTCAGTTGAATATTAAATAAATATCTATTCTGTATACTTTTAAATGGCGCTTTAGTAAACTGCTACTTTTTTAACAATATTGAAAACAATAGGATACAACAAAAAATGAAAATTTGAATCTATATCAGTGAATTCACGCGCATCCACCGTTGTCAATAATACATTAGAAATTATATTCAGTCATTACGAATTTACGAATTCCAGCAAACACCGATTTATATGATAGCACACCCGTATGATTAATCTTTCCATACATCTCAAGTACATGAGAAGAGTAGATATCAAGAGTTTAACAAATAATATTACATCCAAAGGAGACCCGAAAAGCCCTTAATGTTTTCAAATTCATTACTCGTTCCCAACGAAAATATACTTCGAGAAACGCACAACTATTTAAGTTAGACAATAATTTATTTCATAGGAATTAGCAACTACACTAAAATTCTTATTAGTTGTACCACATAGATAAAAATAACTTCTTAAAATTTATTTAGTTGAAACTTATTATAAACATTCTTGACAACAGAGATTCTTTTATACTTAAATTTGCAATTTATAAGTTGAAGAATTTTAAAACTAATTTAAAACAAAATTTAAAAACAAATAAAATGTATGTTTTATTAGTCACAATTTTTTGAACCATCCTGTTTACTAGAAAATAATTTTAAATTGTGCATCCAAACAATCTTTACAACTTTTGTATTTTTCATTTTCTCATAACTTCTGAGATAATGAACTTTATTCTTATTGACTCACTTTATACAAGGCATTCTCTGAATAGTCAGTTTTTTGGTTCTAAATGTAAATCGATGTATGTAATCGAATCGATTGATTCAAGAAATTATTTCTGAGCGAATATAGTTTGATTTAAATAATATATAAATATTAAACATATGTTTGTTCACTACTTTAGAATAAATAAGTAAAAGAACCAGAAGATATTCTGCTTGTATGCGATAAAATTATCTATTTTATCTAAGAGTTCACTATTCGTTAATACTATGGTCTGTAGATGGGCTATGTAAATTTCGGAATATTATCTACAGTAAACATTTTTAGTCATAATAAAGGGAAAGGTATAAATTAAAACATATTTTTTTAAAATTAAGAGTCAACAGAAAAGTAAGTGGATGTTTAAGTAGGTTCAAAATATATCATCTAACTATAAGATGGTCCGTTTACTGAGTCCATATTTTTATTTCTTATTTAAAATTTGTTTTCAATTGATAAGAATAAGCATGCTCACTAAAGTAGAGAATATTCTTCTCATAAATTATTTTTAATAACCATTTTGAACTACTTCTAAAGACCTTATATGGCACTCCCTTATTAAATGTTGAAATTTGGATATTAAGCTACTAATTTTTCTAGTTATTCCAGTAAATATGGCGATCCAAAGTTATATTGAACTGACAATAAAGGGAAATACTTTTCTAAAAATTCAATTACCACAATATCAATGATTTATCGCCGAATCATTTGGTTATTTCTGTCAAGATTATGTGTTGTCTTGTATGTAACTTAATGTACAGGGGTGGTCCATTTAAGATACGTTATCTCAATACGTACGATACTGAGGAAAAAAAGTTAAATACAAAAAGGAATTGACTCTAAGTATATTTTTTATTTATATTCTTTTTATGCATACAGGGTGCTCCGTTGTACCAACAGAGAAACCAGTTTTTTTTTTATCGAAAGCTATGAATATTTTTGATTGATTGATTTTAAGATTTTTTGACATTACATACGAAATTATGAGTAGTTGAGAAAAAATAACTTTTCCATTTTTTTTTGCGGCAAAACAAGTCTTTGACAGAATGTGTTTTTACACTTGAAAACTAAAATTGGGAATTTTGATTATGGATTCATAAAACAGTGTGAACACAGTGTTCGAAGTGTTTTCGGAGCGCTAGCATTGAAGATGCCAAGTGAGATTTTGGCGAAACGTCTGCAGGATTCCAGTCGGAGCAACAAGCGAACGGATGATATCCCGGAATATAGTGTCATCACATTTTTCCATCCGTGAATCAATACTCCGGGATATCATCCGTTCGCTCGTTGAACTCCGACTGGAATCCTGCATCCGACTGGAAT